TTTCTTTCAGCCAAACCATTATGTTCAGGTGTATAGGGACAAAATTTATGATGAGAAATGCCCTGTTGAGCAAGAAAGGACTGCATAAGTTTACTAATATATTCACCCCCCATCACTATGTAGAATCTTATTTCTTCATGAGAATTAATTGAAGACAAAATGGTAGAATTTAACAAACACAGAACAAAGATCAGATTTATTGATTAAAGGAAAGAGCCAACAAAATCTGGTACACTCATCAACAAAAAGGACATAGTATTTGAAATCATCCACAGATACAGTAGGTGCAGGTCCCCACAAATCATGATGCACAATTTCAAAGGCTATTATAGATTTTGTAGAAGCATGAGAAAAATGAAGTTTACTAAATTTCCCTTCTAAACAACTCTGACAAACAACAGGTGACACATTTATTTTAACAACAACTTTTGACTTTTGAAGTATAAAAGAAACTATGGGGTTGGAAGGGTGACCTAATATGCAATGCCATAAGGTTGAATTCACAGTATGTCCAAGAAGAGCAATGGGTTGATTAGCTCGTAGGTGAGATGATGAACCTGATGGTAAACCAGGAAAGGAAGGAATTGGATATAGTCCATTGTTGTAGAGCCCTTTATACAAGATTCTCCCTGTGGTTTTGTCTTGAATCCAAAAACAAGAAGCACTGAATATTAGCCAACAATTGTTGTCAAGGCTAATTCTATGAACTGACAACAAATTATGAGACAATTTGGGAATGTAAAGAATAGAATTCAATCTAAGAGACTATGATGATGTCCGATTAAGAGAATTCCTAATATGAGAAACTTGCAAACCTTCCCCATTTGCTGTTTGAACAGTCTTATTACTTGGATATGGAGAGGCCAGAGACAAATTGCTAAGGTCGTTTGTCATGTGATTAGTTGCACCGAAATCTGTCAACCAAACTTGTGGGGAGGTAGAATTGGACATGACAGGAGCATGGGAAGTGGAAGCATGCATATAAGCAGGGGCATATGCATTAAAAGTAGCCATATGTGAATAAGGGTTGAGATTTTGTGTACAAGTCGAAGACATCATGTTCATCATAGGGGGCATGTTAGGGGAGGCCATAGGCATCATAGGTGACATATATGGAGGCTGCATATATCTAGGAAATGTAGCTTGCATAGCAGTCATTTGTGAGGGTTGAGATCGATTCTTATTCCTATAGAAGTAGGTTTTTGCAGTATGGTTACTTCGATCACAGATTTGACAGTTCTCAGAAGACTCAAATGAGTCAGTGTTTTTGTACACACAAGTAGCAGCATTGTGTCCTTGTTGAGAACATAATTGACATATGATAATGGACGAAGATGAACCATTATGAAGCTGAGAATGATTACCAAGAATTCCAGGAGTAAAATCATGAACAACAAGTTTCGGATTGAAATACATTTGCCCCTGATTGTATAATAGTTCCCAACTTTGCATTTACCCTTGTATTTAGTTTTGTGACCTCCATTAAAGAAAAGAGATTGACCAGAGTTCCCATGAAAACCATTTGGAGTCTGGAATCCAGAATGAAAGACTCCATGAGTTTCAGATGATACTGCCCCAAAATTAGAACCTTGATTCTTGGCAAACAATGTAGTAGAAAATTGTAGACTTTGACTGTTCTCAATAATTGCTTCCTCTACAAGCAATTGAGCCCTAAATTCTTTAAGAGAAATCACATTCTCTCTACCACGAATTACACAGCGAAATGTGTTATACTCTGCAGGCAAACCATTCAATGCCAAGATAACAATATCTTCATCTTCAAAGTTAATCCTTGCAGCCACAAGATAGTCCCTTGCTTCTTTAATCTGTTGAAGACATTGAGTGACAGAATATGCCGTTTTCTTGATAGTCTGAATATCAGACTTGAGTTGAAAAGTTGAAGTCTTGCTAACTGTGGAAAAGTGTTCTTAGAGACGAACCCATAAATCTCTAACACTGGTACTCCTAATTGCAAAAGAAATGGCAACAGATGATAATGTTACAGTAATAAGCTGCATAAGAGCCCTATCATGCATCTTCCATACTTTGTAATCATCCGACTCAATTCTTGAACCAATACCACCAGATGAAACTTCAGAATTACTCGAGGAAACAGACGAGTATTGAGGCAGACAGCAAGTCGAGCCATCAACAAAACCCATTATCCCATATCCTTCAAGCATCAATTACATCTGAAAATGCTATTGAAGATAGTTGGAATCATCCAACTTAACCGACACAGATGACGATACAGAGGAAATTAGTCCAGTAATTGAAGACTGCAAAATTTGTAGTTGAGAAGCTGTAACCATTGTGAAGAATTGTCTTTGAGGAATAAAAACAAACACTTGGTAGGCAAGAAAAACTCAATTGAATTGAAGACCTTAGGAGTGAAGAGAAAAGCCCAGAAAATCACAAAGAAATCTCACAGAGATAAGAGATGAAGCGGAAGCACAAGAAACCAAAAACGAAGAAGCTGTCTACGCAATTTGGGCGATTGATACCATGTTAACCATAGTGCAGTAATTTCTAGTATTGCACAGAGAAGGTTATGAAAGCTCAGAAGGAAGAAGAAGATCGAAGAAAAAGAGGAGAAAGAGAAAGAGAGAGAGAGAGAGAGAAATCTTTCTACTTATATTTTCTTAATGATTCTTATCAATACAGTCACTATATATCTTGTGTAGGATTTAGTTACATTATCCTTATCTTCTAAATCCATACAACTTGGACTAACTAACTAACCAACTCTTGTAATCTAGCCTTTCCCACATTGACAAATGTCACAATCCTAATGGCTTGATTATATACTCTAACAGTCACCAGAGAAGTGTCGGCAGATGAAGATCAAGAGCCTCGTAATAGGGAGCCAAACATGCATGTGTGATAGTTGGGATTGGTATGAGTGGGACAATCTCCCTAAGCCACTCTTTTGGCCTTTGAAGAGGGCGTGCCGGATTTAATCCTTTCCGTCCATGATTGAATTAGTCCAGGGAATATTTAATCTGCTAACCAAAAATAAAAGAGGACCAATTAATCTATGTACGTGAATAAAGATGCTAGAGAGTTCAGCTCCGAATTAGCATTGGTGTGTTATTGTTTTATTTTTTGATATGATAACATAGACAGTTTGTAGCTATTGGTTTTTTGAAAAAATTAATGGATTTTCGAAGTTATGTTTTTACTTAAAAGAAAATTGTAATTGGTTATATGGGGTTTTGAAAAAATCCGATGATGATTAGGAAAAACTAAGACAAATTTCATGATCAGAACCCATTGCCAATCTTAAGCTTTTTGAGGCCCTGGGGGACATTGAAAATATGCCCTAGCATAACTTCACATAAAATATATTTATTTTAGTATTAATACGTATGTACATAAAATATTAAAGAAAATATACATTTTTCTCATTAGGGAATTTTCTAGTATTAATACGTATGTACATAAAATATTAAGGAAAATAGACATTTTTTTCTCATTAGGGACATTTTTTTTTTTTTTTTGCAAATGATAGGATAATCTATACGAACTAATTAAAACTATGGGGAGAGAGATTTGAACACGGGACCTTGAGTGCAAGGACAAACACTATAGGACCTTTGAAATGAATTTTTCATAGTTTAAAATCTCTAATTTTTATACGTAAGCAATAAATGAAAACGAAAAACAGCTACTACCAAAGGCCACATATATTAATTTAACTACTGTTTTTTTTTTCTCTTTTGAGTTCTTATGAAAGGTCACACTTCACTCCAAATTTATAAAAATCATATGGAAAAAATTATTGAAGTGTAGGATAATGTTTTTTAACTGCCGATAACAACACTTTATTTAACAAAAAAATAAAACACCTTAAGTAGGATTTGAACCTAAGATCAGTAAGTTAACAGTTGACCACTCTACCACTGAGCTACTAAGGAATAACGGATTTAAAGAAGTTGACTCTCGTTCTTGGACCAACCTTTCCTGTTGATTCATTGTCTGCTTTGGATTTTATTAATTGCATCGACTTTTTTTCTTCTTTTTTTTCCTATGTGAATTAGATCTCAATCTTTTATTTCATATTAAAGGTTCCCAACAGCTTATTTGTTCTTTTTATATTCACACAATCATATGAACCTGATTTTGCAAGTAAATTCTAAATTTAAAAAATAAAAAAATAAAAAAATAAAAAAAATACTGGAAAATGCCACATTTAATAACCTAATTACTGTTTCTTTGTTATCTAATGTAAACATGAAAAAAAAAACAAAGAAAAAGAAAACTACCCCCTCTATATTGAAAATTAAACTTGGTGGTCGGCACGGAAACAAAAACCTCAGAAAAGCACTCTCGCATATCAGATAAATTGATAACAATGATGAATGTTTATTATTTATCTAAAACAAACCAAAACCTTATATATATGAAGCAACATAATTTTTTTTGGTGGAAAAGCACTCTGGCATATAAGATAAATTGATAACGATGATGAATGCTTATGAGATTTTTGGGGCCCTTCAATTTTTGGGGCCAAAGCGGCCGCCCTTGTCGGAACCGTGTATTATGAGATTTAAATGATTAAAATATGTTAGTTGCAAAGGCTGAGTAAGATGGCACACCCATGTGTTGGATGCAAGTTGTCCTTAACGGAAAATGATCATTTTCGGATTTCTTCCACCTAATTTTTCTCATAAAATAATTTTGACTCTTGAAATTTGATCTAACGGTTAAAAATACAGACCCATTTTAAAAGTTATAATAACTTTAGCCGTTGAATCAAATTTTAAAGGCTTGAATTGTTTAATGAGAATGATTAGGTGAAAGAGATCCGTCTGTCCCTAACTTGATATCAGCTTATTCTTGTGACACTTGTCCAAGAGCTATCCAAGAAAAATTAGAAACCGTACGTAAGTATTGGTTAGCATTCACATTTAGTCAGTTCACACGGGCAAAAAATGTTGTAAACAACATAGTACTACAATAATCAGTCATGAAGTTTTGGACCAAGTTTTCATCTTCAGGATTGACTGACTCACTGAGCAGTCCACTATATATAGAAGGAGAGGCGGTTAGGCTACGACATCCAGTGCAAACAAAGACACAAAAAGCATGGTTGAGCAAACACAAAACATGCAAAACGGGATTGCGGCGCCGAGAGTGGTGGTTGTGGTGTGCCTGTTGAAAGGGAAGAAGGTGCTCTTAGGACGCCGTCGTTCCTCCATTGGTGACTCCAAGTTTTCCCTCCCCAGTGGTCACCTCGAGTTCGGTAAATCACTCTTTCATTTGAATACCTGCACAACACTAATACAGATATTGTATCACAAATATTTGTATCTTACCAATTTCACAACACGAGAAGTTTGATAATTTTGTAACAAAAGACATCTCATTAGTATTAGAAATGAACTATTATTATATATTGTACTTTATTCTGTCAATTGTTCGATGTAAAATTCGTTTATTTTTCAAAACCTATTGCTTCAATGTGGGATATTCAATTTGTATTTTGTGTTTGTGCAGGTGAGAGCTTTGAGGAGTGTGCAGCAAGAGAGCTGAAGGAAGAAACTGACTTGGACATTAAAAATATAGAATTGCTGACGGTCACAAACCATGTGTTCCTAGAGGAAGCGAAGCCGTGCCACTACGTGGCGATTGTCACCAGAGCAGTGTTAGCAGATGAAGATCAAGAACCTCGTAATATGGAGCCAAACATGTGTGATGGTTGGGATTGGTATGAGTGGGATAATCTCCCTACGCCACTCTTTTGGCCTTTGGAGAAGGCGGTGCAGACCGGATTTAATCCTTTCCGTCCATGATCTAATTAGTCCAGGGCGGATTGAATATGTTAACAAAAAATAAAAAAGAACCAATTAATCAATCTACGTAAATAAAGATGCTAGAGAGTGTTCTGCTCCGAATTAGTGTTGTCTGTTAAAGTTTTTTTTTCTTTTGGTATATGATAATATAGACAGTTTGTTGCTATTGGTTTTTTGAATAGATGGATTCTCGAAGGTATGCTTTTACTTAGAAGAAAATCGTAATTGGCTATGGGGCTTTGGAAAAATCCGATGATGATTAGGAAAAATTGAGACAAATTTCATGATCGTAACCATATATGTATTTTCTCAATCTTCATTAATTTTAGAAAAATATTTGCATTCACTTCTTAAGGTGTCTTGACCCTTGAAACCAATGTACGTTAATTATAAAAATTTCAAAATCGAAATAGTATATTTTCTTAATCCTTATTTAATGATTATTTCTATAAAATTTTAATCAAATCGGATATCGTTGAGTTACCTAAACAAATCAACGATGTTAGTATCAAGCAACAAATTTATGAATGTTATCCATTTATTTGATACATATAGATGACCAAACAATCTCGAGTTTAAATGAATTTTCATAGAGAAGATTTTTAAATAATAATCAAGAAAATACATTATTTTGATTATAAAATTTACGTTGTAAAAAAATGTTAATCGCAAGGAATGAATAAGATGGTACACCATATGATGAATGCAAGTTGTCCCTAACTTGATAATGGCTATTTTTTTTACACATGTTCAAGAGCTAACCCGTAACCCCTTAAAAATACACGTTCACATCTAAACTTTAATTATTGGATGGTTTAACTGATCAATACACGTTCATATCTCGCAGAACTGAAAAATCATGCCAAAAAACAAATTGATTTGATGTGAAAACAAATTCTTATGTGCGCGCGCATGTGTGTGAAAGTGCAAAGGGTGATATGTCCTTATTATGAATTTATGAGATGAGCAACTAGCATTTATGAAATTTTCAACACTTTCGAAAGAGTTGAATAACGTAAAGGCTTCGAGAAAGTTGAAGTTGGATAAAATGTGGCCAACCAAATTTAATGCCACAATAATTTTGACTTTATTTAGGAACTCCTACGATGAAAGCCATCATGCGACAACAATAGCTAAGGTTATTAGCCTTGTAGTTGTCGACAGAGAACACAGTGTGCAAAACGAAGAAAATGATGTTCGAAAATCAATTTTTTAGTAATGAACTTAAAACATGACGTGTTTGTAATGTTAAATTTTGCAGTTACATTTATGTGATTAGGGCGCGAAATTTATAAAATGGCCCATTTTTAAGATAGTTTTTTCTTAAAAAAAAAGTAAGGCAGTATGTTGTTACTAGAAATTAATAACTTAACTCAAAACAAACTTTAAGATTCACTGATTGTAAGTTTACAATTGTCATTAAATAATAAGTAAAAATAGTTGCAAACATAATCTTCACTAAATAATTAAAAGCAGTTTAATCTTAAGCAACCAAATAAGAAAAAAAAGCTTTTAAAAACTCTAGCTTTAAATATATAGCATTATTATATAATAAAATTGAAAAGAAAATCGTTTTTTAATGTGTTATTATTGACACTCCTAATATATCATTGTGCAATTCTAAATTTTTATACTTAGAAGGAAAAAAATTTACACTTATAAGAAGAGTAATTTTTTGTAATATATAACATTATTACATATAAATATAAGATACCAAATTTTTTATAGGAACCCTATGTAATTACATCTTTCGCTTCCTCTCAACGCTGCCTCTGATCTAGCTCAGATGGAACTAGTTAGTTTCCAGCCAAGTATTCATTGTCTCAATTATATGATGTGATTTCTAGCTCGACTCATTAAAGCATTACAACATGCAAGAGAGGATTATCTCATACTTCGAGTCTTCGACCCAAAATGCAAGAGAGGATTATCTCATACTTCGAGTTTGCAATTTTTTTTTTTAACAAATGATATTATTTATATTAAAAGAAAATGGATAGGCTTAGCCTTATAATGGACTAATAATAATGTGGTTCAAATTCGTCCTTGACGAGAATCGAATCTAAGACATTTCACTTACAAATTATAAAAAATATCACTATATTGTAGTATTAAGTGATACTTCGAGTCTTCAATTAGACCCCAATCGGCGCTGGACCGGTCATTTTTTGTCACACTTCAGCGTCAACCATTATATGTCTATCGATGTCTGAGACGATACCGGTGGCCGCCCAGAAAACTTGGAAAAGGTCACACCGACAACGTTACTAGTATTTTTCCTAAATGCATACAGCTTTTTGTATTTTAGTCTCATTAACTTAACCGACTGAAAGATATATGTTAATATTTATATCGAATTTTGTGTTTATCTCTATTAATTAATTAAACTCTAAAATAATGGGCACTAATGTAATTTTACAGGTTCGAATTTTACTGTTTTTTATTGAAACCTCACATATAGATGATATTAAAATAAGGAAAACTAATGAAAATGGCTTGAAAACTTTGAGTTTTAATGATAAGGACAAAATAAAAGGTAAAGTGAATAGTACCAGGATTGACTTTTTAATGTAAAAATGTGGTTTTTCGTTAAAGTGAATAGTACCAGATACTTTTCGTTAAAGTTCTCATAAAATATCTATAATATTTAAAATAAAAAAATAAAGACAAAAAATAAAAACCTCACACTCTCCCACGTTTTCTCTCTCTCTCTCTCTCTCTCCCCATCTCCCTCTCTCCTTCTCATTTTCTAAAAAAAAATGTGTTCATATATACAAAGTATGTAGGCAAATGCTAGTATATATAAATGTAATGTATTTTAATCTCATCTTATGCCAAACTGAACCTAATATAATATTAATGATGTGTTGACAACTCTATTAAAGTTTCTCTCATATATACATGCAAGTATTTTTTTTTTTTTCCCGATAAGCACAATACTCTAAGATGGAGTACCTATATAATATCTACGTCTTACGTCAGTTACTGCATGGATCTACTACACAAATATCATTGCCTTTTTTTAAGGGTTATCTTATACACAAATTAAATACAATCTGAAACGATCAAAGATTCAAAAGGTCATTGCCGAGATAGAAAATAATAATACAAACCATAACGGTGTTCTGACCAAGAAAGTCCATTTTCAAAATTCGACTTCTAAGCTGGCCAGAGAGAGTGGCTTGAGCCTGAGCACTACTCCATCATCTATATATATGAGTTGGCAGTCATGCCACATCCACCGCAAAACTATAACACATATATACTAAGTTTGATATCAAAACATGGTTAACGGAACAATACAGCGTCCCGTGCCGAAAGTGGCAGTGGTGGTGTGTTTGTTGAAAGGGAAGAAGGTGATGTTGGAGCGCCGCCGTTCCTCTCTTGGCGACTCCACCTTTTCCCCCCCTGGTGGCCACCTCGAATTCGGTAAACACACAATAATTGCATATGTACTTATTTTCTTTATCTTAGTTTTTCCGTAAATAGTTATATGCTATTTAAACACATAAAATTAACAGGTTAATTACTGACCAACTCTCTATTGCATGTATACCCGTTTAAATATTTGTATTTTTGTGTTTGCGTAGGCAAGAGCTTTGAGGAGTGTGCAGCAAGAGAAGTGACGGAAGAACTGGGTTGGACATTGAGAAGATAGAGCTGCTGAATGTCATAAACAACATATTCGAAGACAAAGGCAAGCCGTACCACTGCATAGGGATTTATGTGCGAGCAGTGTTGGCAAGTCCCGATCAAGAGCCTGAGAAATGTCGAGCCGAACATGTGCGATGGTTGGGATTGGTACGAGTGGGACAATCTCCCCAAACCACTCTTTCGCCCTTTCCAGAATGCAGTGGATTCTGGATTTAATCCTTTTCATGCATGAGAACGAATGGTAGTTCTGCTTATTCGATTACCTCAATAAAAATGCTTTCTCATATTGGTTTCTTAAAATAGTATGGTAAATGATAAAATAATTAGCAAATTTGGAATTAGATGATGTCATGACACACGAACGTTCAACATTTCGGTACATACTTTTGATGCACATTTGACAGTCATTTTGTAAGATCTATTTCGTAATATATTTCAACGATCTAAACCGTCTATATTTTTTAAACATGATTTTTGAGGTAAGACGTAAAAGATAAACGATTAAATCATTGAAATACATTACAAAATGAGCCCTAAAAAAATCTCAACCGTCTATATTTTTGTAGACATGGTCTTTGAGGTAAGACGTAAAAGATAAACGATTAAATCGCTGAAATACATTACAAAATGAGCCCTACAAAAATATGAACTGTCTATATTTTTGTAGACATAGTCTTTAAGGTAAGACGTATAAAAGATAAACGATTAAATTATTGACATTCATTACAGAATGAACCTTACAAAAACATGTATCAAAATATACGTCAAAATGTGTCCCTCAATCCTGACATATATATCAAAGAATTGCCAGTACGGAGTCAACCAAGTCCCTTCTCGAAAGTACTTACATATATTTTAAAGAGAATTTGATTCGGATAAAAATAGATGTGGTTATCCAACCGTAGTATTTGCGATTGTGCCCGCCATATTTAGTTAGGTTTGCCTTCTTCCAAAACGCACGGGCGTGCATGGCATGAAGCAGTGATGCAATCATACGCAAAACTAATGACCTCAGGACTTGATGGAATTTGTCACCTGCAAACAAACATATAGTGAGTTTAAATGTTAGAGATATTATGTTTTGAGACCAATTTTGGTCCATGATTTTTTCATACAAAACAAGATTTCAAACTATTTTGCCTCGTTGAGAGAAATTTTAACTTGAATGTATAAAAAAAAGCTCTAGCTATATGATACTCACATATCTTAATACGGTAATACCACATAATTTAGTAAGTGATGTATACAAACATCTTCTCATAAGGCATTTCAAAAAACATTTTTGGTCTTATTTTTTATTTTTCTGACCAACTCCTCGTGCATGCTGTTTTATTTCCTGTTCTTTATTGATCGCGTCTGTTTTGTTTCCTTTTTTCATAGGGCCTTAGGCCTTTTGTAGCCCAACCCACCATCCCCATATCCTACTCGAATTTAGAGGACTCCTGTCCTCCTCTTTGGCAAGTAAAACCATTTTTTCCTTTTCCTAGCGCCCAAAATCAAAGGTCAAATAAAAAACTAATATGGATTTAGGTCAAAACCTAGCAGCAGTGCACCGCTATGTATCACCGCTCAGCATGCGTTTTGTTTTCTTAGCTTCTGCTTGTCAATTTTTTT